ATCTGTGTTAAACTTGGCATGTTTAATATGGTATCTGTTTGTTTCATGGACATTCTGATACTTGGCCTCATCAACCATCAATAGTCAAAGATTATTTTTTCATCAGTGGTTTTAGTCTTTGTGAATTAATGATAAATTCAGTTGTTGTGAGGTGGTTATAAGTGTGTGTATCAGTGGAGAATCTTCAGGGCCTTCTAGAGAAGGCCTAATCATTTCTTTGAAATGAAACAAAGTCTGTATTTTTTAGTTAATTTATATTTAATAGAATCATCATGCTTGTTGTATGTAAATTTTGTAAGTATTGTGTCACTATTATTTCATGGCTAGGTTTTGGAAACAAAAGGGTTACATACTTGAAACAGCCAAATTATTCAGTAAGGATCCCCACTATCCCCCAACCTAGCTATCAAGGAAGACACACCCAAGTGAGCTCTCCCATTGGTCAGAGCTTCAGAAGCTGAACAAGATCTTAAATATTACATTAGCTATCAACATGATTATAGACTGATGGCAGAATCAACCAATCACTGCCAGAAGGCCTAGACTAATGTTTTTCTCAATAATTTGCGACCAATTTCTTCTAGTTTCTTCTAGTTCTGGATACGTCACTTGACTGTGATTAGGAGCCGTAATCTATCCAGTCAGATGTCAGAAAAAGGAAGCAGCTCTATGGCAGGGCTCTTTACTATACTGCTACAAGGTAAAATACATGTTAATGTGTTTTACAAAATTCAAATAAAACATGCAATGTCTTTTACAAGCTTCAAATGTTTGTATTTAATCTTGAATGGCCAACAAATATTATTATAATAGCTTAGTGCTAACACAGTACTACAATCCCATAGGGGTCAGGTTCTGATATGTATGGCCTGATTTGAAGGTCTAGCTCAAACAGTCATAGTTCACAACTGTATATACAGTATTTTATAAAGCATTGAGTAAAACTGCTTCAGACATGGCTCAGCGAATCAAGCTTTTGAAACTATATCCATTTTTATAAACTTTAGTATTTAATAGTTCAGTTACAGTATCTCAGTGTCTATATTATATATATTTTATAGTACAGATATTAATCTATAAAGGAACATCAGGCTCTGTTCAGTCTCCCAACATGTGCATAGTACCACATAAGCCAATTTAGCTAGCTGAATATACGGTAACCAAATTTCATTGTATTTATTAGTAATACTGCATTATTTGATTCAAAGAAAAATCTTGTGTCTAAAGAGAATGTCTAATCAGCATTTACAAAAAGACCATAGATCTTAAGGCTACTTTATCAGGGTTGTTTAAAAATAGACAGGAATGCCTAGCACTCTAGTTAGCATTTTCTGTTCCTTATTCCCCCTGCCCCCCCCAAATCTGTCTGCCGGTATTAAGTGCTAAAAAGAGGAGAGGGAGTTTTAAACTTCAAAGTGAAAACCCTCCCTTAGAAAACTGCTGAATGCATGTTTGACTAGTCTGTACAGAATCTTACAAACGAATTCTGCCTTAGCTTATGACTTTTGTTTAACAAATGATAATAAAGACAATGATTGAACAATGCAGAACCATTGCAGCACTGGATGGAATTGACTATTCTACAGTGCAACAGGTGTAATAATACCAAGTAAGCAAGGATAAATCAGATGAATAAATAGCCATTGAATATGTACAAATGACTAACTAAATTTAACAAATTATTAAATGTTCTCTGTTTTCAGCCCCACAAATTTTATATTATTATCAATTCCAAGGCTATTCAAATAGGATATTTTAGACAGTGTGGGGTAGTTTTTATGTTATGTAGGACTACTTCTGCATTGTAACTCGACTTTGGCTTATGAGAAAAAGAGAAGAAGTTATGACTGAAGTTTGGCTTTAAACCTTAAAGTGAAAACCCTCCCTTAGAAAACCGCTGAATGCATGTTTGACTAGTCTATACAGAATCTTAAAAACGAAGAATCTAAATCTCACACAAAAAGCACAAACTATTATTATGTAGACATGGTAGGATATCATACAGTTGTACATTGCACATTGTGAACTGTGTCCTACTTGCAGTGTAAGTAAGGAAGCCTATCATCGGGAGATGGCGAGTTCAACCCCTGGCAATGCCACAGCCACCTGTGACTAAGGCCCAATCCCATTTCTTATTTTTACCCCTACCCCTACAAGTGTCACCTTGCCCCTAGGAACTGAGTCACAACGGGTAGTGGTTGAAATCTTAACAGGCTACTAACGGTGCTCTGTAGGTGACCTTGCCAGTCTGCAGTGATAGCAGAGGAGCGGTAAAGTTCAGCCACCTCGCTGCTGGGCTTAAGGTAAATTTTGGGCATCATATGCTTTCAAAGGAGGGGGGATGTGAAAATGATTCATTATCACCCACCCCTAATTCTTTGGTGATATGAAGCTGAATTTTTTTTTTGCCATCTTCTCTTTTGAATTTTCCTGTTCCACCTTAAATGGAGCAGCAGGAACATTCTGGCACTTCAGGCATCAGAACTGCTGAACTATTTAAGGTGGAACAGGAAAATTCACTTAGCATGGTACTAGCGATTTTTTATGCTTGTTATGAAGAAAAGGACCATAATACATTAAAACGACATTAAACTAAGATTATACAATGGCTATCATAACTTGTTAACGGAGAAAATACTCACATTTGTGGGTTTCTCTGGTCGCTCGTGCAGCCATCTTGCCGTTTTTTCTTTTTTCTCATAAAACTCTGTTTGTAGAGTGCCTCTGAAAAACCTCCGTCTGAAGGGCGATGTAGCCCTACCCATCGATCTTAACAAATATTGGGAAACCCTAACCCTAGACGTGAGCTACCTTCCTGCAGAGCTTAGTCCCAATCTGTATCCAAAAACTGCCCCACCCCTTACTTAACTCTAGTACATCTAATCCAGCCAATCAGGGACTTGGGAAGAGGCTGATTCGCTGGAGCAGGTGTGGCAAACTGTGGTTGGGACTCGGCTCTGCAGGAAGGTAGCTCTCCAGGATCACTGCAATAACGTAATAGATTTGGCTGTTACTGTTGTTCTCCAAGTGCATTGAGCTGTCAAAAGACATTGCATTAGCTTTAGTTTGAAAAGATGCGGTGGCTTCACACGACTCGGAGGAAGCACATGCTAGCCTTCACCCTACAAGTTGGTAGCATCTCGTGGTCGGGGAGACCTAGCTTGCGAGTGGAATTTTTTAAAATTACACAACACGACATGTTTATTATCATCTAGTTTAACAATCATTGTTTGTTAATAACACTGATAATGTTTTAATACTAATTTAACACTAATTCAGTTCATCAGGCCTTCAGGAGCATCTGAACAGAGGTGAGTAGTAATGAGTTACATGTACTGAAGTGCATTGTTGATGTTTCTTGCATATTTTTCTCATAATACTTTTACTTCTACTCAAGTGTCTTTCTGAGGATAGAGTCTAGTCTTTGGGTTTAATGTCATTATGTTACGCTGGTGACAGCATCTGTACTGCTTTGTAACTGGTCACAACTCTGATTTAATCTAATTCTAAACTCTGGTTGATTATTTTCAGTTTGTATGCTGATAGATGCTGGATTTACTAATAAGTGACTCAGTATTTAAACAGTCTATTAACCTGCTACTTTTTTGTATGTTTACTCGAGTTGTTTTTTAGGAAGGTATTTAGACTTTTACTTGAATCATCACTTCACCAAAGTTACAACACTTTTACTTGAGTTTACTGATACCAGTACAAATGTTTTGGCTACTCCTTTAGTTCTGTGTTAATAAACACCCTATGTTATGATGTGTTTTTACAAAGTTACTCTTGTTCCCTGCACTTTTGACCTACGCTTTGTTTTAACATCTTTTCTGTAGCATGCTTCTGATAGTTTGAAGCGGACTTCCAAACTTCCGCAGCTATCTGATGATAAGAAAAAACTGCGAGTGCTGCAACAGGAAACCAGCCTTAACACAAGGCACGAAACGAGAGCATGAAAGCCAGTTGTCCCCTGAAAGCGCAGCTCCAGACCACAGCTTTGCTAGAAATGAAAACTTAAAGCATTCACAGCTCACGCTTGTCATCTGCGGATGGAAACTTGTCAGGGGAGTGCAGAGAGATATAGATTTGTAGCTGTAAGGCAGGAACAGTATAAACAAGGGGGTTGCTTTGAAATAAAACTGCAAAAAAATCTCTGTTCAAAGAGCAATTTCCATTAGAAGCTACTGCGTCACAGAAGTCTTATCTTAATTCCCGTATTAGTTCTAATTAAGAAGAACAGGGCAGATTTTCCACTATCCTTAATGTCAGCATGCAATAAATAAAAAATGGGTAACATTTTACTGAAGATCCGTGTTCATTATCCCTTCATGATAACTGAAATACCTTATATAGACTTTTATAAACGTTGTCATGACACTTACTGAGGTGAAATGTCAGATATAAATGTCAAAAAATTGACAAGCAGGATTTGTGAGAACTGACACTTGGAATAAACCTTTATAAACATCTGTGTAGGTTTAGGTTGGCCATGAGAGACTAATGTAGGTGGCCTTATGAATGCTGCCCCTCAGTAAGGTGCTACATTAATTATGCCAGATATTTCAACTCAATCGAATGCTACTACAACTAATGTTCACATACTTTCAGTTTGTAAGTGAAATAACCCTCTTGGTTTATTAGAGAGTGGTCCAGTTTCAACAGTCATTTCTCATAGTATGTTCAATTCTATAATCACTGCAAATGATTATTTGATTTATGAACCCAGTGTTTACGTTTGATCATGTGATCCAAGTGAACTGCGTGCTAGAACAGAACCAAAACACAGACTTGTTTGACTAGAGAACACTGCGGAGTAAAAAGTCATCAAAATTTTCACCAGCCACCCCCAGAGGGAATATCATAAAATAAACCGAATAAGCTGAAACTGTACATTACGCCTCCTCTACAAAGGGCCATCGCAAAGCTTTCCTGTAACAGCCCTATGCTCATACCCTCCCACTCTTTCCCCCGCATTAGCATACATGATGTTTCCATGACTTCCCTTTTTGAGCATCCTTAAATACCCAGCAACGCACCACTTTTTATCCCAGACTGACAATCACCATCACCAGTCCTCCAGCACCACCATGATGCTCAGCGCCCGTCTGCTGTTGGCAGCCACCGCTCTCTGCTGCTTTGCCACCACACTTGGTAAGAGACTATTTTGTACAACACTTTAAACATAAAGGATTCTTTGGAGTGATTCACTTACGGTTACTTGAAGAACCTTTCAATGGATGGTTCTTTGAAGAACCATTTTTGTAAATGAGATGCATAAGTGTGAATATAATTTTACAGAACCTTTAAATAATGTAATTCAGTAAAGCAATGACCATTTGATGATGGACTTTTTTGAGGCATTTTTGTGGTTTAGGTCATTGTTTATATGGCATAATTTATTTAAAATGTACATATTTTTGTTAAGAAAACTGGCTTCCTAGAATAAACAGAAGATGTATTTTACTAGATTGACTAGATTGGGGTTTTCTGGGTCATGAAGTAATAACAGACACTTTAAAATCATTCGTTGACACACCTGACCCATGTTATCTAAATATGCAGGAAGACACTTAACATATTACATACTATGTCATATGACCAGATGTCCCATAATACTCAAATCCAGTCTAACCATGAAGGATCAGTAATGTTCTTATTTGGTTTCTTCATCTTTAGAATGAAAAGGTGATGTTGTGATGGTGTTGATTCATTATAACTTGTAGCAACTCTCTAAATCTCCAGCTACTTCCATGGATGGCTTTGCTACTGGCCATAAATGCCGCTGCCTGATCACCACCTCCAGGCAAATCCCGACCCGGTTGTTCAAGAGGATCGAGATCCTGCCTCCTGGTCCAAACTGCGGCAATATTGAAATCCTGTGAGTCAGTATACAGGCCTGAGCTTAATAGGTTTAAGGGTTTAATAGGGCCACAACAATTCAACTGTTAATCTGAAGAAAAAAGTTTTTAAATCCTAAAGCTTGATATATTATACAAGTATCAGGTCCAAAAACTCCTCTAGTGCTGAGTTTCTTATAGAACTGCAGTGGACCTTCTTAGTACGTCCAGCATCATCAGCATAGGAACTGAAGTTCGTTAGGTGAAGTTCTCTTTTGGATTTTTGGATACAAAAAATAAATTGAGCAGCTAAATGTAAATAAATACAATGAAGCTGAGTAAAAAATTGGCTAATTACCCTTTAACTGTTTCTATTATGGCATGCTTAATGTTGTCATTTAAGTGGCAACAATGCTAACTCATCTCATTTCTCCAGGATCACCACGAAGGACAATAGGGTACTGTGTGTGTCCCCTGATGCACCGTGGATCAACAACGTCATCGATAGAATCTCACAGAAGCGGTAGACATTGACACTTAAAGCATTAACACATCAAAATAATGCAAGACTGCTGGGGTTTTAATCTCTGTGGTCAGTAATGCTAGATTTATTTCTAAAATACTCACTGCTACACTTTATAACCATTTGTCTCTTTTCCAAAACAGCAAAAGAAGCACGGGGCTCTCAGACCTGACCAGCACGTATTAACGTGACCACTGCACCTGTCCATCTTCAAAAAAAAAATCACTGCCTAGATTTGGGCCTTTTTAAAATGTTTTCTGTCCAATCATAACCATAAGCTAATGTTACCTTCATTATCAGTTCAGATTTTAAGTGAAAAATGTGAAATACAATAAAAGCTTGTTGAAATAAAACCAGCTCTCTTTTCTCATTAGTTCATATCATGGAAAATATTGTAGTGTATAAACACTGTTAGGTTTCAGAAAAGTACAGTTCACAGTCCACACTGTCCATATATAGAAACTTTTTTAAGTCATCATGGTCATGATGTCACAAACATGAAGACATCTACATATGATCGACCATTCACACTGAAGTGATGAGTGTTGTTACTGCAGATAGTGCAGCAGGTATTGTGTAGGAGTGGAAGTTTTATGGAAAGTGAATAAATGTTGTACTGTTCTTGGCTGTGAGGAAGCCAATGTATCACTGCAACCATTCTAGATATTCAAACATCCTACTTGTGGGCCACCTATGTACAAGAGTCATATTATTTTGTATGAAAGAATGAAAAATAATTCATTTTAATTTTAATAAAAGAAATATTTTATAAAAACTAAGATAAAAATTTTAAATTGTCTATATAAATAAAATAAATAATAAATGCAAATAAATACAAATAAAATAAATTACAGTGTATGATGAAGTCGCATGTGCATAATTTCTGCTTCCTTGATTTTTTGGAAGCATATCCATAATATTCACTTACTTTGCTAATATCATGACTGATACTGGTAAAAAAAAAATACTTGGCTTAAGGAACTGCTTTTGTCACTTGTAGCTTGTATGAACAGCCCTGAATTTAATAGTTTGTATTGCACATTTCAGCCTGGGTTGTTTTAGTGTTAATTGGGTAAATCGCAAAATTACAGTTGTATTTATACACAGCCCACCCCAAGTCATCAAAAACATCTATACTCTTATATTATAGGTGACCAGAAGAGGTTGGATAAATGAATATAATCTTTTTGTTTTTTTAAATAGGCATGTTTAATACTGAGTTTATAATATTTTGTGATTGATGACTGCTTGACCTGCAACCTTACCAGACCCTCATCAATTTGTTAATTAAAAACACACTTGGGTTGCCTGGTTTAACGCATTCTGTGTTAAAGGTAAGTTAAAATGTGTTTTCTATAACTGGCACAGAAATTAACACACAGATGTATCTAACTGGAGACAGAATATGGTGGGTTTTTTTTTTTTAAAACATCTGTGGTAAGAATGTACCAGACCCAACATTACCATTCTCTTCAATGGTGAGGTTCTTCCATTCCTGTAGTGTAACTATACTGTATGTCCCAAAGTTTGTAGATAACCTGCTATTTCAATGCTTCTTCCAAAATCAAGGGTATTAATAATGAGCTTTCTCTGTCATTTGCTGCAGTAACAGAAAAGAATTGCCATAGTGACACCTACAGTCAGGTCCATAAATATTTGGATGTCAGCAAAGTTACTGTTACTTTTGCCATCTACCACAGCATATTGGAGTTTAAATTAAATAATGAATATGAGCTCAAAGTGCAGACTTTTTGAGGGTATTTACATCCAGAATCCCCTCTGACGAACACACACACACACCCACACCCACACCCACACACACACACATTTTTAGGTGCACAAAAGTAACTGAACAGTTGGCTGCTCAGCTGTTTCATGACCAGGTGTGTGTTATTCCCTCACTTTTCCACTAGTACGTAGATAAAGGTCTTGTTTTGATTTCAAGTGTGGCAGAGAACACCTTCCAGGTGGTAGAAATATCTGTGTCAAAGTCAACAACTGACAGAAGACATCACCAGAGGATTTACCACAAGATGTAAACCAGGGATACTCAGTCTTTGTCTTTGAAATCTACCACATTGCAGAGTTCAGCTCCAACCGTAATCTAACACACCTGAGTCAGGTAAGACGGCCCTCAGTAGAATCTGAATATTAATCCATCCCTGCACCTGACTAAGCATGCATTTTAATTACTGAAGGGAAAACATCAGAAAAAGAAGCAGGAATTAAAGACAGCTGCAGTAAAGGCCTGACAGAGCATCACAAATGAAGAAACCCAGCATCTAGTGATGTCTATGAGTTCCAGCCTTCAGGCAATCATTGACTGCAAATGATTTACAACCGAGTATTAAAAATGACAATTTAATTTACGATTGTTTGTTTGTTTAATTACTTTTTGGGCCCTAAAAATCGGTTTGTAAGTCCTGGGTTTTATAAAAATGGTTGTAATTCCTACACCATTCACCTGATTTGGATTTCAACACCAGTATGCTGTGGTTGACAGCTAAAATAATGGACCTGACTGCATGCAAAGGGAAATTCACAATTTTGATGCCTATGTCCACTCTGGGAGCAGCACAGCATCCCCAGCAGAGGGGATTAAATGCCTTGCCCAAGGGAAGAACCAGGTACACCTTGCCAGTAAGGGTGCAATGATTATTCGACTTAGTCGACTAAAATGACAACCAAATTAGTTGGCAACTAATTTAGTAGTTGATTAGTTGGTGACGTCATTAAATGTATTTCTCGCGCTCACTAGGAACGTTTCATTACCGCTCACTGGAGAGTTAACAACAGCGCGATGGCTGCCTCAACAACAAAATCCTCAAAAGTGTGGGAGCTAAACTCAGAAAAAAAGCAGTCAATTGTGCTGTTTGTAAAGCTGACATTAGCTAGCATGAGAGCACATCCTCCATGTCGGAGCATCTAAAGAGGAAATTTGTCGGCTCACTGGATGAAGACGATTCATCTCGATAAGATACGCCCCGTCCACCCTACTTCATGTTGTGAGCTGTAACATCTGTATTTCGAAATGCATGTTCTCTGGTATTGTTAATGAAGTTGGAACAGAGAAGCAGTTAACTATTATTCACAGCGACCCTGTTAACACTCCAGATAACGTTTACACTTTTAAACATTGCATTGCTGTCTTAATGTTGAGGCCACCAGTACGTTCAAATTTGGCGAACATAGGATAGCGTTTCCCAACAGTTTTCTGCTTTCCGCGAACATTTGCCTCCACTCACTAGGAGGTAGTTCTCTGTGAACATAGAGGGCAGCTGGATGAAGGATTACGGTTGAAATCATGTGTTTACACAAAATCATTCAAATTTAACTGTTTAGAGAACAAGTTTGCCGCAAACGTTCGTCACTTTCCCATCCGCTCCATTCTCCATCAGTGGGGAATATCTGCTCTCAGAGGAGAGCGAGACTCTCACAAGAGCACAGAGAGATGCCGACTTTCCTCCATTTCAGAAAAAGACCTGTGATTGTAGAATTTAGTTGCAACAGAGTGTAGATAGACAGCAGAATGCACAAAGCACAGACTGCACTGTTTAAATTTAACATTCAAATTTAGTTTAGTTTAATTTTGATTTTGTATTTACTTGATTAAAGGAAAACTGATTAGTTTTGTTATATTTTGCTACTTTGCACATCCTTGGTTATACATTTTGACAGGAAAAATATATTAAAGTTTTATTTATTTATCTTTTGTATTATGAATTTTTTATTGTTATTCATCTATATTGTCTTTATTGTTAGTTAGTTAATGCATAAAACAATCTCAAGCTAAATTTAAAAACTGATACATACATGAAAGTTATTTGGTAATATAGTGATTTACAATTTAATAAGGCCTTCTGTGGAGGCGCTGGGATTGTGTAATACGCTAAATCTGATGACAGGTACAGTCTAAAAATGAGGTGTTTTCCAGCAAGATTACATTCAAACCACATACATGCAGACTCATCGCCTTTTGTCTAAATTCGCTGTTTTTCATGATAAATCCTGTAAACTGTGTAGATTTAAAGAGTTTTTTAACTTGGGTATGTGGGGATAATGAATATATTACCATTATAATCAATAAGAAATCCATAATCGTATACTAAAAGTTCAGTGACAAAAGTGTATTAATCCTCTCACTAAGGAAAGGCCATGCTGTGTGTAAGATAGGGGATTTTCTCATGAGAAAGTCCTGAAGTTTAGAAGCATCTAGAAGCTAGTGTGCTTTGTTGCAAGAACAAGCTGGGAGGGGAGGTAAAGCTGATAGGAAACTAAACAGTATCAGTGTTGGAACCAGTTTAAAAAGATACAATTTAATTAAAAACCTTGAGAAGAGGGCAGCTTAGGATAGCTGAGCATGCAAGTTTTTAAAAAATCAAGGACACGTGTGGAAATAAGAGTTTCCAACTGAAGTGTAAGGATGGGAAACAATGGGAACCAAAGTGAAATGAGAAAAGGTGAGAGGGAGGGGGCGATTGCTTCATCGCCCCAAACAGGGTATAAAAAATGATGTTTCTGTATTGTACTTTGCATTTGGCTGTCTGGGAGCCATCTTGCCATCTGAAGCTCAATAAATGAAGAGTGGGCCTTTTCCTTCCTTCACAAAGAACTCAACGGCTGAAGTCTTTTATTCAACTTTCTTTTATTTTTGACTGAACTTTATTTTATTTTGCGTTTATGATGAGAACAAGCAACTAGATTTATTAAAAAACTAAAACATAGTTATAGAACAGATTAGTATAATTTATCCATATGTTGGGGCTCTGAGCGAGCGTGAATCGCACTTAGTCCCGACAGGTAGAAGGAGAGGGACGCTTAATTTTGCTGCCAGGAGAGATAAATCCCCTGCCCCAGCAGCAGTTCACATCTTTTATTCAGCCAATCAACAGAACTTAGGTATTCTATTTTTATTGTCAGAACTGAAATCTGCAGCATTTTCATAAAAATATTTAAACCAGGGGGCGTATTATGGAAATTTTGTATTTGTTTGTCTTAAGATCTGACAGGTCAAGAGAAGATTTTCCACTAATTCATATTACAAAACTAAATATTACCTTATTTAGGAATCTTCTCTTAAAGCATCTTATCTGATCTTAACTTACTTGAATAAAGTCAACAATCAACTGTCATGACTGTTACCTAGCAACCAGCCATATGTGCACAGCTGAAATGTAAACACGTAATCAAAATAATCAAGTTAGTGAGCGAGACAGTTAACGTTAGCTACTGTCACTGATGTGAAAAGGTCAAACAAAACTAACTTGATAAACTTCAGATTAAGAATATTACATATCTAAATATAAATGTACCTTTTGCAAAGGTAAACTTGCCAAATTTAATACTG